TGCCTGCTGCACTGGGGGCTCCCTATGGCAGAGCCAGAGGAAGCTCCCATGTGACAATTTTCAGCTTCTTCAAGTGTCATTGCCAGCTGCTGCCCGTTCCCCCCACCCTTTTTTTCCAGTATGTGAGCTGGTGCAGAAAATAACCTAAGCCTAGGCATCAAACAAGAGCTAACTGCATTTACTTTTCACATGCTGAGTTTTTATCTCTTTAAGATAAGGAAAGCAGTGTCAAGTATGACTTCATAAACTCATCCAACTCGTCATACTGGAGCTGGGCTATCAGGCACCAAGGACTGTAAAATATCCTTAGCCAAAAAGGCAAGAACACCAAGATCCAGCTCTGTAATCCAGAGAGGTCAGAGCTCTCAGCTAGGAGGGGAAGACACAGGATCACTGTGTCTGCCTTTAGCTTTATTTCTTGTTTGTATCCAATTACTGTGTAACATAAAATATCTACCAAGGCAGGCTCCCTCTTGCATACCGACCTTCTGGCCCTATAACTCATACATTCTTGAAAGTAATCCAGCCCTGGAGCAGGACAGGCAGCAGTGTAACCCCCAAACCAGTCTATAATTTTGTGGTTAGGCACTTCTCTGTGGAGTACTGGATTTGACCTCATAGTTCAAGTGCACCATTTTTGGAGAAGTCCCCCAAGACAGAAGTGGGTGCTTGGGTCTGAAAGATGGGGCAGGATATAATGGCAGCACCCACCTGTGCTGAGGACTGCTCCACCGTTTCCTCTGGCTTCGAAGGCACAACTGCTAGTTTCTAAGCTCAGGGTACAGTTTTTGACTAGGAATTCCAGTTTTGTAGTCCAGCCTGGTTCACGGTGTCAGGTGGCCAGAAATAGAGAGGGACGTACCTGGAAGATCACTGTAACATTTTAAGTTGGCTACTCAGGAAATCAGCAGGAGTAAGACCCATTTTTTTTGCTGCAGTATGCAATGCCTAAAAAGCACTCCTAGAAACACCCAATGCTCTGATACAGGTATGTGACACGATCATCTTCTTTTTACCAGGACTTCCTGGGAGGGGTTCAGGAAAAAGCCAGATTTGGTACTATAAGTCTATCCTGCACCCATCAAAAGCACCTTAAGAGCCAATGACTGGGAAGACAATAAATTCAGAGATACTTTACTTTTTTGAAATATTTGAATTTAAATAACAGCTGACGAGTCTTCCTTGGAAAATGGTTTCAACTACCAGCAAAAGGCAAGAATAGTAGGCTAGGTTAAACCAGGTATGTTTCTGCGGCATGGTACATACATAGTCACACTTCATAACCTGCATCACTCTCTCACAGTTTCCACCCTGCAAACTTCAAAGACACAGGAGCTCCCCTTTGGGATCATCTATTCAGCTGATTGTGGGAGTATCTGTTGAGAAAAACTTTTCTACTCCTCACTTACTTTCGTATTAGACCTAGTAAAAAAATAAAGCAGTCATATGTACATTAATGTAAGAACACAGTGTACGTAGCTCTCAGCATTTAAGATGGGACATGAGAAGTGTTCCTTGAAGGCAAGCCAGGCAATAACTTTTCAGAGAACTAAAACTTGGCTTCAGCAACAGATGCAGAAAGCCAGGAAAGAGCAGATTCTCTACCAGGAAGCCAAAAATGCTATTTATTTAATTTATTAATGGTTAGGCATAATTCTAATGGTACAATGTTCAAATA